CCCGGGGAGCCGCCCCCCACCCCGAGCCCCCCGGGGCCCCCGGACACCCCCAAAGAAACACCAGGAAGACCGGGGGGCGGGCCCCCCCCCCCCCGCCGGGCCGCAAAAACGGGGGGGGGGACGGGAGGCGGCCCCCAACCGGGGGGAGCCCAGGGGACGGGGGGGGGGGCAAAACAGGGCCCAAGGGGGCGCCGGACGGCGGCCCCCCCCCACCCCGCGGGGGGGGGGGGCCCGGCGGCGCAAACCGGGGGGCCCCCCCCCCGGGGGGGGGGGGGGGGGGGGGGGGGGGGGGGGAGGGGGGTATTGGGTGGCTCGCTCTCGTGTGAACGGGTGGTGGTTGTGGCATTCCCTTGCTTCGCTGCTGCAGAGGGTGTAATGTGCGGTAGGTGTCAAGGGTTGGTAGCAGCAGCAGTGATGTGACGGACACGGGCAAGACGCCAGGAGTGCGGCCCGCAGTCTGCAGAAAAGTGGGGATGCGGGGAGGGTAGTCACTAGTTTGTAGAGGTGGGTACCTGTACTGGAGAGGCGTCGCATGTGCACACCGCACGGTGGTGGAAAGTACTGAAGCCGAAATAAAACCGGTAGACGTAGTCAGCGCTGGCTAGCGTGAACTCTACAGCAGTGGTGGCAGCAGGGCCGTGCGTGTCGTATCGTCAGGAATGTTCTGGTTGGTTGGCCAAGGTCGTGATACTGCTGTAGCAGCCACACCGGATGGTTTAGGTGGTCCCTAGTAAAGCGCCCCAGAGTGCGAGTCAGCCCGCCGAGAGGGTGGACATCCGGCGGGGCTGATCGTACTTGCGGAGTTGGGAGATTCGTTCGAGTATGTAGATGGCACCAGTAGGTTTCCTCTCCCGGTAACGTGCTCGGCAGTCAAAGGGGTGTACTATAGTTCGACCCCCCGCGCGCAAAATGTGTCGTGTCGAATAGAGTTGTCTTGTCGTCCCTTTGACGCCGCTGGTCTTATCCCCCAACACCACATATAGTACGGCCACTTTCTCTCTCCTATCACCTTTCGTGATGCTACTCCCGTAGTTTGGTACGACGCCTATGACGCCACCTCTCCCGCATTTTATTCGCGCACGTTCGTACTTCTCCCTCGCTTCACCGGATGTGTTTTCCTGTTTTTTTCTCGGGCGTTGCCGGGCGCGATTTTTGGCCTCGGCGACCCGCTAACCTCAGGACTCGGAAGGGTCTTTCCAGCTGTACATCGACAAGGGGAGGCTTGGAGACGAGTTTAAGGCAAGTGGGATGGATCAAAGGGCTCTGCTGTGTCCACCGTGACAAGAAAAACCCACTGAGACTGCTGCTACTACTGTGTTGGCTCGTTTTCCGGCGGTCGGTATGAAACGAGGGCCGCCTTCCCTTCCCTTCCCTTCCCTTCGCTTCCCTATGTCGTTGTCGTCATCGAGCAGAGACCAGAAAGTTTTTCTATCATATGTCAAGACGACCAGACAAGTTAACCTTGCTGTGTCTACCGTGCTCGCTGAAACTGTTCTTGGCTGTGCTGTCGGTGTACATGAAACGACGGAGACGTTACCTTCCCTTCCCTCCCCTCCCGGATGTTATCGCCACCTACGTACACGATCAGGATCTCAAGACGTGGACCGATGCGGGAGACATCGTTGGCGCCAAGGGTACGGTTAAGCGCACTGATAAGGGCGAACTCTCGGTGTACGTGAAGAGCTGGGCCATGCTCTCCAAGAGCGTGCTGCCGCTGCCCGACAAGTTCCACGGCCTCAAGGACACTGAGAAGCGGTACCGACAGGTGATTGGCCCTAGATTAGTTGCTGTTGCTGTTGTTGCTGCTGTTGTTGTTGTTGTTGTTGTTGTTGTTTTGGTTTTGTGCTCGTTTGTTGTTGTGAGTGCTGTTTTTGTGTTTTTCTAAGCGTGAGCAACAGTAGTAGGAGTACCGGTAGCTGTACCAACGATGATGAAAATCGAAAATGACATCAACATGAACAACGATGTCGAGGTGATATTATAGGAGACAATGACGATGACGACATACACAGCAGTACCAGCAACACTGACACTTAACGACAAGAACAACAACAACAACAATAATCACAATAATCACAATAATCACAACCGCCACCACCACCACAACAAAAACATCATAAAAAACAACATACCGGTGGTAAATTGTACTGCAGCGGTGACGACACCAACAATAACAATATCAACTGCAGCAGTAGCAGCAACAACCACCACCACCACCACAACAACAACAAGAACCTATCGTTGCTTGTACCCCCCGCCCCCCCCAGAGGCACGTGGACATGATGGTCAACCCGGCTGTCCGGGACGTGTTCCGAATGAGGGCCAAGGTGACATCCTTCATTCGACGATCTCTGGACGACGACGACTTCCTTGAAGTGAGTGCTGCTGTTTTATTTGCGTGTGTTTTTGCTTTTTGCACCGACCGCGCTAGCCGGCTGACCAATGAAAGGACGTCAGTCGAGGGCTGACAGTAGAAAATGCCTCTCAAGATCGTGATCTGGGCCCAGTGTTTGTGTTTGTGTTTGTGTGTGTGTGTTTGTGTGTTTTTCCGCTGCTGCTGGGGCAACGCATTCTGTTTTTTTAGGTTAGCATTCGATAGAGCCCGAAATACTTCTTGGTTCGAATGAGTTTCGGTCTGGTTTTGGTTTTGGGGGAAGTCAGCAAGAGCCTGTTCTCCTCCAAAGGATGGTGACCTGCTTCTAAAAGAAGTAATGTCGAAAATTCGCAAATGGTGCACGAGTTGTCAATGTCGCGTTGTGGCACTTGGACCCTACCTATTTTTGGGATGCAGCAGTGATTCGAGCGTTTCCGTAGCATATAGCTTGTTCAAAGGGTCGCACTTGCACCCAAGCTCTTTTTGATGCTTTGTTTGCAGCGGTTACAACAGGGCCACCACCATTTGGTGCAATGCCAATGCGGATGCACGCCCCAACTCCAGCTCGCGGGGGTAGTTTTCGAAGTCATGCATCGTGTACATAGCTCGCCCCAAGTGTGCCGCATGCCGCCGTTCGCGACCTCTGAACCCGTGTCCCCTGTCCCTTGGTGTGTGTGGCGTTCTCCAGATCGAAACCCCCGTGCTGCAGTCCATTGCCGGCGGGGCGGCGGCCAAGCCGTTCGCCACCCACCACAACGTGTTGGACATGCCGCTCACCCTTCGCATCGCCACGGAGCTGCACCTCAAGGTAGGTGGTGGTACCTATGCACGCACGTGTAGAAGGGTGCCATCGCCCAACCTATTGGTCCGCGCCACCTTGATCCCTGTGCTACCTCTGGAATTCGTTTACGCTCTTCATCTATTCATATATATATTCATCTGTATCACCTGGGCGGTGCCCTAACTCCCGTCTTCCGCTTAATCGCTTTCCCCGCTTCTTATGTGCGTTTCGTTGTTGCCACTCGTAAAAAACCCACCCCACCCCGCCTCAGCGCCTGGTCGTAGGGGGGTTCGACAGAGTGTACGAGTTGGGCCGCATCTTCCGGAACGAGGGCATCAGCACGAGGCACAACCCGGAGTTTACCTCGGTAGAGGTATACCAGGTATGCCTGAGGCGTGTCGGGACGGGACGGGGGGAATGCTTCTGTTTTGCATGTCTTGGGCCATTGACCACGCGTCCTCGAGAGGACGGAGCATGAGGTACTCAACGCAAGCCGTGGTCGACAGACCATAAATCTCTTGGACAGCTGGACAATGCCGCTGTGCCAAGAGATTGCACTCGCACCTACCTACCAGCCACCCGCCCTATATGAAACCCACCGTCTAGAGGGATCCCGAACTGCTGCTGTGTACCATTAGATCACGTTTTTGAAAACAGGTTGACGAACAATTGCTGAACGGATATTGTCGGTTCCGTCCTTTTGTCACTCGATCGGGCATCGTATGCGAAGGCTTACGCGGACTACCACGACATGATGGAGCTCACCGAGAGGCTCGTGGCCGGGGCCGCCTCGGAGGTGCTGGGCACGACCGCTGTGTCGGGAGGGGAAGAGGAGGGGGCTCCGCCGGATGTGGACCTGAAGGCTCCGTGGAGAAGAGTGACGATGAACGACCTCGTCAGGGAAAAGATTGGTGCGGGTCTTGGAGTTGGATCGATGTCACGCAGCAACAGCAGCACCACAAACAACAAGACTATACTCCGTGGTTTTCTTGGTTTTATTCCCGCGGTTGGCTTCTCACGCAGCAGCAGCAGCAGCAGCAGCAGCGGCGAAAATACTCCGAGATTGCCATAGCTATCCTTGAGCATGAAGACCTCTTGTCGGCAACACATTTGGCGGAAGACGTCAAATGTACCAGGGTTCTTTCTGTCCAGACTAATTCCGTTGGAGATATAGGCACAGTTTTTTCCCAACCCGTTGTTAATTTTTTTTTTTTTTCTTATAAAGAACAACACAAATGCATCCATCTCTATCCATAGAAAGAGTCTACCATAGGTTAGCATGAATTTGTAGCGGTAATTCTACGGCTCCCCGAGCACCCAGTGATCGATAGCTCCCCTGTGGGAAACAGACTCGACAAGGCAGTTTGGTGGCCATCTTGTATACTAACTTTATGATGCTGGGGAGGGAGGTGTAGAGGGGTCTGTTACTTGTTATTTGGGGAGTGGGGTTTCTTCTTTTTTTTATGTTTTTTTATTATGTCTTTGTATTATTTTTATCAGGGCTGGAGTTCTAGACGAGAAAATTCGACAGTTGTTTTTTCCCAACCTTTATCTTCTTTTCTGCTGTACTTTTGTTCTTTTTGTCACGGCTGGACTTCAAGGCGAGAGAACAGTTCTTTTTCCTCAACCCGTATATACATATTTTTTTTGTCTTTTTTTTTTTATCAGGGCTGGATTTCGAGGCTCTGGATATGTCCGACCCCGCCGCGGCCCTCGCCACAGCCAGGGAGACTGCCCTGAAAGCCGGCGTCCACAAGGCCGCCGGCTTGGAAACCCCGGGTTACATCTTGAACGAGTGTTTCGAGGAGCTCTGCGAGGCAGACCTGATCCAGCCAACCATTGTCATGGACCACCCCATCGAGGTATACATTCACTTCCGCGTCGTCCCCGTGGCGCATTTTTATTATCATTTTTTGCATACGCGTTTTTTTTTGTTTTTTTTTGCCACGAGATGGTTTTGTAAGCCCTACATTATTGGCTGTGGAGGCTTGGGGGCGATTTGTGTGGTTGGATGCGTGTGGGGTTGTTTGTGATTTGAAGAAGGCATGGTGTACAACGTCGAAGGAGCAGATGCGTTTTTCCTGGCGGAATGTTTCTTATCGTGAACAGCAGATGTTTGTAGCCTCAAGGGCAATGGTGACATTTGTTTGCTGCGGCTGTCACGTTTCGTGTGAATGTCTTTCGGAGCATGGATTGATGCTGCTGTGTTGTTCTTCTGTTTGGATTGTTTTCAGCCCCACCACGAAGCTGTCTCTTGTCGTGGCCGTTTTCCTTGCGACGGTCCCGTCGTGCAACACGAGTGCTGGCCGCTGCTGCTGCTGTTGCTGCTGCTGCTACTGCTGCTGCTGTTGTTGTTGCTGCTGCTGCTGCTGCTGCTGCTGCTGCTGTCGCTACAACTGCCGCTGTTGTTGTTGCTTCTACTTCTGCATTTGCCTCTGGTGTTGTTGCTGGCGCTGGCGCGATTGCTGCTGCTGCTGCTGCTGCTGCTGCTGCTTCACCTGCTGCCGCGACTGCCATTGATACTTTATTCTCGTTCGTTCGATTGCCACCGCCGCCGCCGCCGCTGCTGCTGCTGCCGTCGTTGTCGATGTCGTCTCATATCAACGAAAAGGTGAGCCCGCTCGCGAAGCCTCACCGCACCAAACCCGGATACACGGAACGGTTCGAGGTGTTCGTGCAGGGCAGGGAGATGGCCAACGCCTTCAGCGAGCTCACCGACCCCGTCGACCAGCGCAACCGCTTCGAGCTGCAGGCCGCTAAGAAGGTAGTTGGGGTGTGCATTAGCCTGGGGTGGCGAAGGAAGCTCATGCTTTCTTTTTTGGTTGTGCAGCGCGGAGATACAGGTAGCGATGCTGACTGCTGTGGCCAGGCGACTGAATATTCTCGTTTTTGTCAGGGGGGCCTTGTCAAGGCCGTTGTTTTTTGTGTTGGTGTTGGTGGGGATGGCTTGAGTTGAAAGAATGCGCGACCAATGTTCGTGCTTTGCTTCGGTTGAAAGAATGCGCGTCCCATATTCGTGCTTTGCTTCAGTTGAAAGAATGCTCGAACATCACTCGGATGTATGCTTATCCTTGGTCGTCATTGCTGCTTGCTTGGTTTACTGATGTTGTCGACGCATCGATGGCACTGCTGCTATGTAGGTGGTCAACATCTTTTGAATCCCTTCTGCTTCATGTGGCCATCCACATCATCATGGCCTTTCGCTTGTCGACTCCCATACCGTGTTGATCGCTCTCGCCCGACCTTTTCTCATCAAATCCGTGGGCTTTCCCAAATGAAGCAGCAGATAATCTTCTTATGCCACCAGACAAGAACCTCGACCCCCCCCCCCTGCTCCTGTCCGCTGAACCCCCTCGCCAATGACGATCGCTATCTGCGCCTTATCATCATCAAACGTGTGCGTCCGCGATCGAACAGGCTGCGGGAGACGAGGAAGCTTGCGATGTTGACGACGATTTCCTTGATGCTCTGGAGCGCGGCATGCCCCCGACGGCTGGGCTCGGGATTGGCATTGACCGCCTCATCATGCTCTTGGCGGGTGAGTTTTTTTTTTTTTTTTTACGCAAACACAACATATTCCCCTCTTCCGTAGAGGATTTGTTTCTTCTATTTTCGTGCCGTGGTGGGCCTGTTTAGCGACGACCCCTAGTGTCAGGGCAAGTATAAGTCGGTCGCTGTTCAAGGCAGGCCGCTATCGTACAATATACAGTAGCGACGATTGGTCGGAGTGCAGTGGTGCCAGGCGACTTTGTGGTTGCATTATTGGGTAGTCGCTAGACAGGGAGTCGCTAAACCGGGGCCCCACCGCTGTGCTTGAGCCAGGAGTGCATGCAGCGGTTTCCAGGAGTCAAGTGTCTCCTCTGATTTTGATGAGCGTTTACCGCGTGTTGGCCGCTTTTGCGTACGAATCAAGAAGTCCCACCACCATCATGAGAACGTTTTGGCTTGTAAACAATGGTGCGGTATCTTGTATCGCCCTTTTTTTGCATCTGAGAGTATTTTTTTGGCTTGGGTGTTGGCCCGCAAATTGTCCCCCATGTTTTTGTGTGGCGCAATCGTGTGTGTGGTAGGGGTGTCATCTTGTCTCGTACGAAACGGAACGTTGTTGGCAAACCTAACGCAATACGGCACCACACGGTTATTTTGGCTTGATACTGAATCCTCAAAGCCCAAAGCAAAAAATAAATTGCACTAAACTAATTGTAGAAGCAAACTTTGTTGGGAGTTTTCTTGTTTCTCTGCGCTTGTTTGGTTGAATTGGCTCGCTGCTGGTGAAGTGCCCGCTTGTTTGTTCGGCTCGCTCCGTGCTGACGAGGTGGCTTCTCGACTCATCTCTAACTTTCCCTTGTCGTACCCTTTGCTCGCCGGGGTTTCGACCGGTGTACCTCCCGCTGGCCGTGTCTCGTGTCGGGTGGCAGGGGCGACGTCCATCCGAGACGTGATCGCGTTCCCCCTGCTGAGAGCTGAGAACAGCGAAGGTGCAGCAGCGGCTGCGGCGGCGGCGGAGAAGGCTTGATCGTTTTGATTGCGTTAGCGCTAAGCTCTCGTTGGCGCTGCTGGGGGATGATCGACGTGGGACATGTTACAGCCAAGAGCGGGAAACTGTCGTATCTACCGTATCTACCCTACGTCTTGACACAAGCGCACAAGAGGGAACTTGTGTGGTTTAGGCTATCATATCAAGGCTAGAGGCACGAGATGCACTAAATAGTTGTCAAGGGAGTTAAGTAACGCCGATTACAGAATTTTGCAATTTTTGTGTTGGGATGCGTGTAACATCTGAGCATTTTTTTTCAGTGAGATCGCGACAGGCAGTATTTTTGAAGTCTAAGCTGGCACTACATGATCGCAGGTCGATACGCAGACCATGCTTTGTTTTGGGCTACAACGTTCCAACATGGGAAGTACGTGGGGATAAGATTCGTCTAGCTATGCTTTGGAGAACGGAATGTAGGCAGCTGCTGGCTGCGTTCATTTTGCGGTTCAGCAAAGCCCAAAGAGCAACTAATACGCCGTTCATGCTCGTTGCGAAAGAAGCGAACGTGCAGTAGTAAGGGTTATCGGCGGTATTCAACTCCGCCTCTGGACGCTGGTTTACACTTGGGACCAGTTGCTCGTGATACAAGCGGTCGCCGCCCCCCTCCCGGCCCCTCTTTTCTTTGGGTGTCACGGGCAACGCTTCATTTGATTCCCTTCCGTTATAGTGACGGCCTCTAGCAGCCGCCGGTATGTGCCCGACAGTTACCAGGCACTGGGCACTAGAATATCTAGTCAGATAATGAGGAGACAACTTGTTGAACGTTAAGGTTCCATCGGTGCCACGCCATTTTCACCGGCGCACTATTGTTCCGGTCAGTGGCACAATTCAACCGGCACTGCTGTGTTGAGGGACCGCTACCGTACTCGGCCAATATAAAAATGCCAATTTTTCACAAGGTTCTCTTGGTAAAAGCGATTTATTTTATACCATGTAAAATAGGCCGCAATCCCTCAAAAGACAAAAGAGTAAAGAACAACGTTACGCGCTTGCATGTGCTACGCACGCCGTTGCCAGAAAAATCGGAAGCACCCACCGACCGCGAAGACACGTCACACAGCACCCGAATACGCTCGTCTCCAACCGAAGCGCTCTGGGAGACGATGGAGGTGATGAATTCGTCACCGGCACCACCCGCCGCGTTTATCGGTTCGACTTTTAAAAAAATCATTTTTTATCCGTCCTACACTCTCTCGCGCGTTTGCCAGAGCTGGTCTTCTAAGGCTCGCTGTGTCTCACCCGCACAACGGCTGCCGATGTTCACGGCCGTGTGTTGAGAGCGGTCGAAAATATCTGCAAGACGCTTGGCGCCTAATGCCGCAGGGTGCGTTTGGATGTTCACCCCGCCTAAAGGCGAAACGATAACAACCGGTGAACAGCAACCAAACACAGCAGCAGTAACAGCAATGAATTAATAAATAAATACTGTTTTCCACGAATTGTACCCTCCCTTGACAGGTACCAAATAGCTCCTAGACTATGCCCGCTCGGATAGAAACGAGACCAACGGGAGACGAGAGTCAAGCACAAAAACTCTTGGTATGCAAACGTAGTATTACTTACCTGCTGTACGCGACAATCCTGATCGGATAGAAAATAGAAACAACCTGGCGGGGAGACGAGATGGCTCGGCCCGAGACAAAGGAGAGAACTTAGTCCGCTAGCTACCTAGACTACGTAGATTACGCTTCCGCTCATCGCCATTCTCAACTCTCCCCCGCTTGTTCGGCAGCAAAACGACACAACTCGCGAAAAAATAACTTGTTGCGGCGGGTAGACTTAGCAACCCTGAAATAAAACGTAGAAATACACAGATTGTGTAGGTGAACCTTACAATATGCATACACAACATGTTGAATTAATTTCAGTATTATCACGACTGACTTGAGTATCCTGGAATTTTGTCTGTCTTCCTTCCCTGCGGAGAGACATTGTAGAAAATTGTTCTTATTCTCAGAAGCAACTACAAGGTAAGGTTCGAGGCGAGGGGCACAGTCATCTGTGCCGGGCCGCGCAATCCGCGGGGCCCCCTCCCTGCCACCACACCAGGGTCAAAGTTTCCGGCAGGCGAACCATGTCTCTATTCGGGAGCGGGTCCATATTCATAAACACTGGCCGCCGCCCCTCTTGCCTCGAGGATCTTACAGACGACACGTAACTCACACCTGATGCTGTTGAGGGCCTACCGCAACACAACGCTACCTAGGCATCACAGAGTGACGGCGACATGAAAACTCATAAAATACGTGGAAGATATGTCAGACGAACGCACGCACGCGCGCAGTTTAGACCCCTGCCGCCATGCGGCAACCCTATCAATTCCCTCCCCCTCAAATATAGCCAACACGAAGGCAGAGAAACACACATTCTCTCAATTACACACCATGACGACAAAATCTAATCCAGAAAAGTGTGTGCGCTCGCTCCGAATCGTAAAGGCTTCTCTTCTCAAGCTCCCCTCTCCCTTGACAATAAACACACCCGGGAAAATACGGCTGGACAGAACATGGAACAAAAAATACAGTCACGGTGCCCCCCCCCCCCTCTCCTCCTTCCCTGTCCCCCCCCCCCGTCCTTCTTGTTCCTGAAAACTATGCAGAACGCGCCACCACTTTTGAACTTGAGCCTCAAAATTCCCAAAATCTAACAAGTTGGCCATAAGAACAGGTGCTCAATCAACAAGCCTACACACTACACCTGTGTAGTGGTCGCATAGACGAACTTTGGCAAGGCCAAAACAAGAGTTTTCCTTGAGTGGTCGCGCGTTCTGAAATCGACTCCACACAAGGTGACCATGTCATCTATGTATCCTGCTGAACATGGAGGAAACAACCCCCCGCCCTTGGGATTTCTAAAAAAAGTCTGCTCTTCTTATTCTTCTTCTTCGTACACGCCTGATGACGTCGAACTCTAACCTACACATCGCATCGCTGGTCGTGGGGAGGGAGGCTATACAACGAGGTTGCCGCGATGCTGCGTGGCGATGCGCTTCATTGCGCACAGGAAGAAAACAAAAGCAACAACGACAACAGAAACACGCCGCGCACCCCGCGGCAGACACGCCCGACCACCAATATGTTCTCCCGCTTGCCTACCCCCCTCCCAACCAGACCTGGCCGACCGGGAGCTCTGGAAAACCTCCTGATCTCCGAAAAGCGTAGATACCATAATAGTATATGCGCCCTTCGAACCGAGCATGCCAAACATCGACAACAAGCATGGGTGGGTCACAATGACAACAACTTTCACGGGGTGGGAGGGTTTACCGGATGGGTTTGCCTGCCGCCGCAATGCCACCGGGTGCGTTGGGTCGCGTGTTTTATGTACAAACATGTTCCGACACCGGACCCAAAATGGGGCGTGATTTACTCGCGGAGACGACGGTCGTGACGTCATGGACCTTCCACGTCTCCAGGGGGCACCGCAGCGACTGCGCCACCCCCTCCCCTAGCACCCATCCTGCCTGATTTTGGACGCCCAACGCTGCCTGTACCCGACAGGATCCTGCTTCTTGGCGGCCTGAAACAGACAACGACGGGGGGGGAGGGGGGGGTACGTACTCATGTTTTGCATGACCGGGGGGGGGGCCTACTCATGTTTTGCATGTCTCAACGGTTACACCATGAACCTCCCATCCCTACAATGCCGGGACGGAACGATGTTGGCAGGCGCAGGCCACGTGTCACAAGGACAAACCAAAAACTGGTCATCCTGCTTGCGGCGTTTGCTGTCGGCGGAAAGGGCGTACTCATGTTTCTCGAGACAAGGAAATCGTTGGTGCTACATGTGCGATTTTTTTACGTTAGCGACGCATCACGTTCGAGACTAAGCCGTCTCCCGGTGGTAGAGACACGGCTAAAGTCAGGGGGATGCTTACATTCCCGCCCATGTTGGGTGGGAGGGGTAATGCGGCGTGTCACTGATTGCGCATGAACCTCCGTGACTAAGCCGAGACTGAGACCTGTTCCCAGGAGCCAGCTTCCATTTCCTTCTTCCATACTATAATATCAGCCCGGCGCAGATATGAACATGCGGCAGGTGCCATGTTTGTGGAACCTTGGCAGAAGACAAGTGATTCAGCCGGGGCACGCATCGCCGCCCCCCAGAGGTACAACCACGTTTCCCCCCCCCCGGGGCTAGCGGGCTGCCAACCCCGACAGGCGCAGGAGAAAAATAAAAAAACGAGAGACGAAAAACGAAAAACGAGAGAAAACGAAAAACGAGAGAAAAAAGACAAAAAAATAACGCAATCTGGCACATCACAATAAGAAAAACACCGCACTCCCTCCCGCCGCTCACGTGACACCGGCGCCCATCCCAGCTCCACCCCAAGACCCGTTGGACCTTGGTCGGCCAGGGGTGGAAAACCCGGCCACGTCTTGCACGGTGGAGGCGGTGGGCACCGCCGGCGGTCTTCGCCCACACCCACACCCGATGCCGCAAAACCCGGGCCGCGAGTCTGCGCCGCCGGCGCCGCCGGCGCTTCTCCTGGCGGTGAGCTTCTCTTGCCGCCTTTGGTTCTGCCAAGAGAGAAAACGGAACAGTTTGGTTATTGGCCGCTGTCCAAGACACAAGTGTGTGTGTCTTGTGCCTGGCTGTCGAGCGTCAAGTCTTGCCTGTTTGTATGCTTTGTATGCTTACATCTCTGGGAGTGGGAGGACTGAATTGGGTTCCATCCTGCCTGCCACGGCTGTTCAGAGAGAGCGCCTTACTCGCACGACTTACCGCAAGTCGAGGTTCAGTCGACGTATTTGTAGATTTGGAAGAAAAACAGCTGCTAACAAAAAAAACGCCTCCTTACCTGCAATACTACCCAGTCGTAGGTCCCAAGCCCCAATTCCAAAAAAAAAAATCCTTGTCCGCACATCGAGCTTCAGTCTACGGAATTGGAGATTTGGAAGAAAAATAGCAGCTAACAAAAAAAAAAACGCCTCCTTACCTGCATTACTACCCAGTCGTACGTCCCAAGCCCCACCAAGAGGAGGTACGTGTGGAACCCGGCCAGGGCAACGAAGCTAACCGCGATCCACCCCGCCACCGCGATGAAAATCCCCCACGTTATTCTCGAGGCCGTCAGGGAGCCGAAGGCCTCTCGCTGGTCGTCTTCGTCTGCCCAGATGACGGTCAGCGTCGCTGCCACCGTCATGTACAGGTACAGCAGCGACCCGGACACTCCCAGGAGGTAGAAGTGCGCGTAGTTGCGCGCGCTGATGCAGGTGTTTAGCCTGCGAGAGCGGGGGTATATAGATCAAGTTAGATAAAAGAGCGTGGTCGTGCTGCTGTGGGTCGTGCTCGACGGCATGTTTGTACACAACGCGCCATCGCTTTTTGAGAACGCGTGGGTTAAGAACTTCAGGTTCAACAAGATCGAAACAAAAAAATCGACCGTGAGAAGAGGCGGTGCTCAGCAAAGATTTCAACAGTAGAACCCATACCCCGCATTACCCCGCAAGGGGAAGTAAGAAACCAGCCTCAGCAAAAACGAAGGCATGGCCATGCATGCACACTGCTCCAGTCTTTCGACGGTAGACCTCGCATCCTTCCCATCAAAAGCCGGGGGAGGGGCGTATCAATGGTGGCCTAGCGGAGACCAGGACCAGGTTCACACGGCATTACGGGAGGGGGAGGGGTACCCTTATAAGGCATGCGGTTACACCATTGACCACGCGTCCTCCAGAGGACGGAGCACTGTTCCCACAGGACCGATCACCGATGGCCAATCGCTCTGCCTACTTTGCCAAAGGTGGCAGAAAAAAAATTCCCTAGGGGGGAGGGGGGGGGCGCCGTGAAATACAAAAAAATGTGAGTTGGACGACGGGTGGGCTGCATCCTACAAAGAACCTGTGACAAAATGAGGTTCTGTAGGCGCGTTGTGCGTTTAGTCTTGCGTCGAATACCAATAAAACAGTCCTTGGGCGGGGGGGGTCGGGGTTCGAGACCACGTTGCTTGGTTCTTTCTGGCGTGGTCTCTATTGAACCGCGACCGAAAACTCAGCCAAAAGGATCGAGCGCTGCTTGCGTCCTCCTAACAGGGCTGTCGCTTCCAATGCGGCACCGTGCTCTTCACAGCTCGCTCAAGAACGACACAGTCTATGTGCGCACGACAAAAATTCACGAGCGGGGGCGGGAGTCGACATGTTCCACGCCATACACACACACAACACACACATGCGCGGCACCCTCGGTTCCCGAACCCCTGGCCCCGCCTCTCCCTCACCAGCTGCAGTGGTGATCGAAACCCCGCACCGTCTTCCGGCAGTAGTTGCAGTAGTGAGGCGTTTCTGCTCGCTTCCTCCCCAGGGTGCACCCCCCCTCCCCAGCTGGGTCTGACCAGCTGATGTACCCCCACAAGCCCACCACGATGATGTTGAGACCCAAGAATGGAGCTAGCGCTATCGCGATGGCTTTGGGATCCAGGGTGAGGGAGGTCAGGACGACGAAGCCCTGCGGAGGGGATTGAGGCGGTGGTAGGGGCGGCGGGTGGAACAGGAGCGCGCGGGAGACGTGAGAGAAGGGAGGGGTGGAGACGTTGAGAGAGGAAGAGAGAGAAGATCGCGAGGAGAAGGGGAGAAGGAGAGAAGGAAAAGGGAAGATGTGGAGAGAAAAAAGAGATATTCTAGAGAGACGGAGAGAGACATTTAAATATTAGATAGATAGGCAGGGTGGATGCGACAGATAGGTAGATGGGTGGATAATCGTAGAAGGAAGAAAGAGATAACTTAGAAACATTAGATAGACAGGCAGGTAAGTGCGACAAGCAGAACCAAACAGAAAGATGGCTGGATACAAGATGATAAAAATGCATCAACAGAGAGAAAGAGACACGCAGACGGCAAAGATCAACAGCGGGTTCTTTTAGTCGGTACAGCCCAGGAAACCCGGAGCATACACCGTACGCGGTCGCAGGCACAGACGTTGTGCTAAGCAAGCCCATTTTCTTTCTTTTCCCATCAAGTTGAATCAGCGCTCACACGTACAGAAGCCGCTATCCGTGGTCACACGGACCGACCCGCGTCAGGAATTAAATCTCTCGACGAGATGTTGCTACAAAACCACGCTTTATTGCATTTTTGCAGCAGTCTCTTGGTTGTGGAGAAAATCGATCGAAAAAGAATCTGCATCGATCGCACACCTGTCCGTCGGTTTCCTTCGCCCGCACGACTGTCAAGGCATCGTGGGGTGGCCTCGCGTCTACCATATGGTGAGACCGAGCCCGTACGTTTCAAAACAAGGTTCGCAACGAACGCTGCTACCGCTTGCTGCGTGAAAGGCTTGATAATTTACACCCGGGAAAAGAGAAAAACAGAGAGGAGCGTTCCATGGAAACCAGCACCCGTGGAAGAACACCACCATTTTCCAACCTTTCCAATCAGTACAAGACCAAACAGTGCACCCACACACACCGCAATAGCCATACCACCCCCAGAACGCTCTTCAACCCAAAACGGTCGCGCGAGTGGTTCAGTCGGCAGCCTCGCGAACGTTTTAACGCTTGGACGTGGCTTCGAATCTCGGCGCAGCCACGATAACCGGGATTATTTTCTCCCAGCGGTAACAAGTGTGGATGGGCACACATGTAGCGATCAATAGTCAGTCTTCGCACACGAAATTCACTTCACGGTCGACGAGAGGAAAGGAACATGTGGAACGAAAAGTACGTAGGTTGCACAAGATATTACACCCCCTGGACCGATTTTCGAACCTCGATTTCTCGGCAAGAAAAGCAGTGACGGCGCCGAAAATGGTGGCGGTGGAACAGCCTCGTCGAGAGCTTTCCCAAAACATATCCTTTGATTTCGGCATCCTCTTCGTCGTGGAGAAATCGAGCTTCAAAAATCGGTCCAGGGGGTGTGATATCTCATGCAAACTATGGTACTCCGTTGTGGCCCCTCACGACATGCCGAAAGGTTGACGCCCTGAATATGGTTGCGACATGACAACCCACCCCCTACACACAGCGTGGTGCCTACAGTAGGGAGAACAAATTCAAGTGGGTGGATTTGGTTATCCGCCCTTTACAGAACGCGCCACCGCTTAAGAACCTCTTGTTTTTGCCAAGGCTGGGGTTCTTACCGTATTCCTAGGGTCATGCTACGAATATAGGCTTTAGTATAGGGGTTCTCAACGGAGCTCACGAATGGTGCTCAAGTTCTTAAGCTTTGATTTTTTAACGGCTCAATTTCTTAACTCACTCCTGGGTTCCTGAGTGGTGGCGCGTTCTGCAGCTGAAGCTCTTGCAAGTAACCGTGTGTCTTCCTATGATATGCATATCTACGGCAGAAGCGAGCCATGTATTGTAGGGGGGCGCGGTGCCGGGACCATTTTTTGAGCTTCGAAAATCGGTCCAGGGGGTGTAATATCTTACATCATGTCACCTACGCGATGTGATCATGCACTGCCACAAGGGGGGTGCTTTCGGGCGATTTTTTAATGGCGGCGTCTGGCAAAAAAGAAGAAACAAAGAAGAAAAAAGTAATGAAAGAAGAAGGTTCAGTTTTTCTTTCGCGAGAAACACCTGTATGTCTCGACGATCACGACGTCGATTCACAAGCGGGTTGCGGCAGTTGGTGCGGAGTGAGCAGGAGATCACCTACATCTGCCTGCGCTGTGGATGACTGCCCCCTTCTGTTGCCTCCTCTCGGTGCTGTTTCGCAGCGCACAAGTCAGCACTGCTATAGGATGTCAACGTCAAATCCTGTGCCTATGTGTAGGCGTGTCAACACAAGCAAGCACGACATCGTCTGAAAGGAAAGGAGGCCAGCGGCAGCCAAGTGCAACAGCACCAGCGTTGATTCGAGCAACGAACATGTAAGAGAGAGGTGGTGGGTGCCCTGAGACCCAGTAGCGCTGACGACTTGGTCGAAAGCGGTGGTCTCCATGTCGGGATACCATTTCTTGGAACATTCCTTGGGTAGGTGCAGCCCTGCACGGCAACCTAGCTTTTCACCGTACATCAACCTAGCGTTGATAGTGCACAACAACCTGGCCCTTACCCCCTCCTGCGCCGCGGCTTAGACTATACGGGACAGCTGCAGCCTAGAACACAAACGGTGCAGCAACCTAGCTTTTTCACCGTGCAGCAACCTAGCGTTGCCGCGGCTTGCCGCGGCCTAGGCTTGCTTGGTACAGTGACCTAGCACTTTCCAATGCCATAGGATTGGGTCGGGTCGGTTGGGTTGTTGGGGTGAGGGTCAGCGATATAACCCTATATCCTAGCTTTAAGCCGTGATAAAAAAACGTACAGCGCACGCACCGGGTTCGAACCACCAACAAGTAGTTTCGAAAGTACGCGGTTTGTCAATCGGGGTGTATTTTTCCGCCGTCCTCCCCACCCACCAACCAGTGTATTCTCGGGCTATATACTGCTGTATGCCATAGGTTTGGGTGGGGTCGGTTGGGTTGTTGGGGTTGGGGTTAGCGTTAGGGTTAGCGACATATCCTATCTTTGAGCCGTGATAAAAAAACGTACAGCGCACGCACCGGGTTCGAACCACCAACCATTAGTTTTCAAAGTACGCGGTTTGTCCATCGGGGTATATTTTCCACCGTCCTCCCCACTCGGGCTATATATACTGTAGCTCTGGAGGTGTAGCCAGGAAGTTTCCTATGGAAAATTCCCGTCAACCATTGCTTTCGACCAAGTCGTCAGCACCCCTCCTGAGACCCGCGCCTGTGATGACGACATGTGCAGTGAAAGATCCCGCCTTCGCTGCTGCTGCTGCTGCTGTACATACAGGAATTCTCAAACGGCAACATATTAGAGCATCATCTCTGATCTGATCTCTGTCTCACCAAGTCGCTCCGCACCACATGACCTACACAACACAGCAGCAGTTGCTAAAGGTAACCTTACGAGTACATTGCCACTGCTTCAAGGTGCCTGCCTACCACTCTCGTTGTTGTGCGTTGGGTTGCGTCTCTGCCGTCGTCATGATCATGTTGTCGCCTTTTTCTGCCGCTAGCTGTTCTGTCGCTGCTGCTTCTTGCTATACGGCTGTGCCGCGAACAGCAGCAGCGCGCGGACGCGTTGCTTCCAGGTCCCACACATGCCTCTTTCTCTGTGTGCGTTGCCAAGATCGCAGGTGGTGCGTGCGCCTCCCGTCCCTCTTTTCAAATGAGTCCCATCGCCAACGGCAACCAAGACCCCAGCTTCTTTCTAGTACAAAAAATTGTGTCCCACTACCGCCGGCGGGGCTCCACCACTAAAAAACCGCCTCTGCCGTTACCCGTTGTGCTGAGATGGCCGTGCATGTTCCCAAACAATTGAACAGATTATCGAAGAGCAGGTGAGCCAAGCCTACATATGCATATCTACATGCTGGCTTGGGCGATCGGACCAGTAGAGGCAAAAAGCGAACGCACTCACTTCCTTCTTCCCCTCACTGCCTCGGCAAGGCTTTTGCATAGGCATGGCCCATAGCAAGGGGAGGGGTCTTTCTAGCGTGCATGGCTAGACTCACCCTCAAGGGACCGATACCTTCTTGCTGCGGCGCACCCGCCGCGAGGCGTGCGTAATGGTAGAGTTGGGTCGGCACTGGTGCGTCAGGTACAAAAATGCAGATGCGCGGGCCTCATGGCCGTCGGTGTAGATAACAATGTCCATCTCAGTTTTGTGCGCGGAGGCAGACGCCATCAGAAAGGTGGACGGGCACTATGTACACGGCCCTAGGTTTGCTAGAGGGAGCTGTACTGTCTCAGTAACCTGGCTTCGCCATCAAAGGGGAGGAGGGAACAGGTGGTGACGAGCTGAGTGGGCTGGTTGACCCTTCGGCGCGAGAATTGTCAAACCAAGAACCCTAAGTGCAACGAGGGAGAAAGCGAGGACCCGACTGGGAAGGACAGCAACGAGAGCGTGTACGGACGGAGCGGGTCGATTTTGGTCGTGCTAGGACTGGCCGCAGCGACACCGGAGCAGCGACACCGGAGCAGCGACACCGGAGCAGCGGCGCCGGAGCAGCGGCACCGGAGCAGCGGCATCGAGCAGCGGCGCCGGAGCACACGGACGACATCGAACCGTGACGCACGGACGAACATTTTGTGTTGTCAAATGTTTTCCGTTTTTTTTTCTGAACATTGGTGTGTATGTGATGACGTCACTGGTTTTGTAGAGAGACGCGGCAGAGATGGCGCGGATAGCCCGGGTGCCTTTATTGTGTACCTGCATCGTGGACAAGTCGTGGAAGAACCCTTCAATGTGGAACGATTCCTAATCAGTGTCGATTATTTACACTGCTGTGTCCAACACAGATGATCAGGGGTAGATTCGGTGATTGTCAATTGCAATGGTGGCTTTGGTTGGTTGTTCTTTTTCACTGTATGTCGCATTCTGACAGCACTTCAGACAGCTGTACGCTGTAGTCGACATTCATTTTGGTACAGTGTAGGACAGGGGGGGTGATGCTGCTGTAGTCGAATGTAGTGTGTGGACGGGTAGTTCAGTTTTTGGGCACGCAACCGTGCTGCAGGGATGTAGGTGTACCTCTTCGGGCTTGTGCATCGAGGTGACGGACGACGTGGCCGACGGCAGTCTGTTACACTTCCACAACTTCGACCCCGCGGCCTTCAGACCCCGGGGGGCCGCCGGTGGTACCCTGCCGGTTGCGATGCACCTGGCTCTGATGGCGGGGGCGTTCGTGACCATCGCCCGGCGGGGGATGGCCGACGACGCGGCGGCGGCGGCGGCATCTCGGAACCGGGTGGATCGCGTTGAACGGGCCTTCAGTGTGGCCATCGCCGCGGTGGAGCGGCACGCGCGCGAAAATTACGCGGCCATCCAGCATCAGCGCAACCGCAACATCATCATGCGTTTCCTTCGCAAGGACATGGATCAGTATGTTCAGAACGTGACCTTGTTCTACCCTTTTCTTGCTAGTTTGCGTGTTCTTTGGATCTTCTGCTGGCTCTAGCATTTTTGTGACCCACGGACAGCGTCTTCGCTAGATTTTGGGATTAGCAACGGACACGAGTTTCATGTGAAGACAACAACAACAACAACAACAACAACAACAACAACAACAACAATAACTCTGGTGTCTCACACGCCACTCGAACTTGTTGACACAACGAGAAAGGAAGACGCTGCTGCTGCTCTCCCGCTGTTGGTCGTCGGTGCCTCCGGCAGCGACTATATGACTATATGCTGGAACTCGGAATCACGCCGCAATCGCTTGTGTAAACCTTCCAATCAATCAGCGGCGAGAGTTTGGGGTGCAACTGCTGCTCGGCTACCTATCTATAGCCATGCCCGCACTTCATGGCCACCTGGTGCAAACCGCCCCGACCAAGCAACAAACAAAACGCATGCTTACCCGCTGCGCGCGCTCGGTGTTACCGGGTGATTCGTCAAGTACATGACACATGACACCGCCAGCAACAACAACAACATTCACTGCTGCTTCGTGCAGGAGGCCATGTTCTTCGTAGATGTTCGAGAACGAACCCGAAAAACTCACCACGGATATGATGGGGTGGAGGACGAACGCCGAGATTTGATCCTTGGCGTAAGGAGCCTCAATCCCGCGCGTGCGCACCACGCGCAAAGCCATGCTCTCTCTCCCTCCCTCTCTCTCTCTCTCTCTCTCTCTCTCACTCTCTCTGGGTCTCCGGCTGCCCAAATGTGCGGGAGGTGGAGGACAGATGTTCCTGCTCGGAAGCAGGAGATACGGGGGGTGCCTTTTCTACACCTGCATATCACGGAGCCCCTAGAGCTGTTGCGGCACAGCATTGACAGAGCAGAGCCGCTGTCTGTGCTGCTAGACACGTGCCGCACGATCGGCGTGGCGCTGCTTGATCCAGTGGTGACGCTTCTCCACTGCCGACTAATGAGCTGAAGATGTTGGACCTAACGAAGGAATGGTTTGCAGTTGTCAGGCAGCAACGGTCTTCCGCAGCAACCGTAGCAGCAGCAGCAGCAGCAGCAGCAGCAGCAGCAGCCGAGGAGGCCGGTGTAGCAGCACCGAGGGGGGGCGCCGGAGGGCGAGGGGGTGGCTACTCTTCAGCCGCTGAGGCCTTGGTTGGGTCGCGATGGCGAACACCCCTAACGCCGTTCATGCAACAGGTTGGTGGCAGAGGCTGTAGAACGGAACCCATGAAATCGTTTTCACCAGTGTACATGGCCACAGCAGCGGAGGCGGTGGGGTATTGACTATCCGCGTACACATACCGCAAGTTTGCGTTTGCTGTCGAAAGGCGAGACATATATACCTGGCTTTTGTTTGTCAGTGTGTAGCAGAACTTGCTTGCGAAATCGTACGTATCTCGTGGTGAAATGCTGCAGCGTGGCGCAGATGCATCATCGAAGTATAGAAGTAGAACTGGCGACTTGTTGCTGAGAGCGTCCACAACCTCTCTTCTCTGCCCACGAACAGCAGCAGTCTCGACGACGTACAATATGGCCCTATCACCCATCCTCGATCCACAGGCTTGACGGCGTCAAGAGCGGTGCTGCATAGTTCCTTGTTCAACAAAAGCAAACACGCGCTTCTTTGTCAAGTGTAGACAATAACAATCGGCCCTATCCTATGACTTCTCCTACTGCTGCTTTGCATATCAAAACCAACAGGCCAACACACGCTGCCGTTGTCGGATGTACTATTTGTACAGTACTGTAGTCTATGCATACGTACAATGGGCCCTAATCAGGCTTGCCTCTTCCTTTTCTACTCCTTTTATCCCACTGCTCACACCCTACAGGCGACAGAGCTCAACTACAGCATTCGCGAGATGCACACGTTCCTCCGGCAGCACTTTCTCGACTACGTGGATGTGCACCACTGCCTCCCGTCCAAGGTGAGAATTTCCTGCTCGTGGCACGCAACCACCACCCCAACTGGTAGACTTTTTTCTTTTTGCCACTGTGCGGGGTTGCTTGCACCTTATACTGCTGTGTAATATACCGGGTAGGGCTGGGGGGGGGTGTTTGCGTGTATTCGGACTGACAGTTGGTGAAGCTTTAGCCTGTTTGACATGGCACGTGTGTGGTTATGTGTGTCATGCTGGTTTTGGCCAGGCGGAAGGGTTCGCTAGAGCAACAAAGCAGGCAAACCAACAACAACGGTCGTTTTCGCAACCCGGTGAGATGGGCGCAAGCAGAAAGATCACGTGCTGCTGTTGTTCGACGTCGTGCACATTTAGTCGAAATATACATGTTGGTTGTACATCCTTCTCGGGATAAGCATCAAGGCGAGCACCGCACACAAGGTGTAGAAACTACACAGTATGTACCTCCCGTGTGACCCCAGCTGATGCCTCCCGAAAAAAGCATACCGAGCGGTGTATGCATACAACAAACTGGCGTCCAGGATAAAACGACGGGTCGAAACACACGCACTTTCATCAGACTCCGGTCCGGTCCCTAGGAGAAGACCCGCCGCCTTACTTCACAGCTACCCCCCCCCCCCCCCCCTTTTCCTTTTCCCTAAAGGGAGCAACCGTCCCCCCTGTCCCAAGAGGAAAAAGAAGCTTCCTCCACCCCCAGGGCCCCTCCTTTCTGACCCCGTGGGCCGCGGGGGTCCACCCCCTTAAGGGGTTTCTCCCGCGGGAGCCTCTCCCGGGGATGGAGCCAGGGGGGGGGGCGGCTCCGGGGGAGGGGGGCCAACGAAGGGGCTCCTCCTTTCTGGAACAAGGGGGGGGTGGGGCCCGGGGAAAACTTCCGCCCGGGTTAAAAACCGGCCCCCAAAAACCCCCGGTGGCCTTTTTTTTTCAACGGGTTCAGGGCCTCCCCCAAG